GCTCTCTCCCTCCCCCCCCCCCTCTCTCGCTCTTCCACGCTCTCTCTCTCTCTCTCTCACTCTCTCTCTTTCTCTTTCCCTCCCCCCTCTCTCTCTCTCTCTCTCTCTTTCTCTTTCCCGCTCTCTCTCTCTCTCTCTTTCCCGCTCTCTCTCTCTCTACCTCTTTCCCGCTCTCTCTCTCTCTCTCTACCTCTTTCCCGCTCTCTCTCTCTCTCTCTCTCGTGTCTGTCAATCTAACTACCCCGGCGTCTATCAGCCTCTCCCCAGATCGGAAACACCAGACACTGAAAAACTGTATTATTTTCCAGCGGCGTCCCGATCGGGAGAGTGTGCATTATCGGTCCCTAACTATTCTTTCTACTTAAAAAGTCCAGCATCACCTCTCTCCTATTCTCCCCTCTCTCTGTTTAGTTCTATACCTATCAGCAGAGCTGTCTGGTTTCTCTAAATATTTCTCAATTTATCTATCGGGCCTTCTGCCGTGTCTCTGACCTGGTCTCCGCGCCTCGACGGTCTCCTTGAAGGCCATGAGCGCCGCGGGTTCCACGATGACTAGATGTGACTCGTCGGTCAGAAGTGGGCTCAGGAAAGGGCGGGCGACGTTCTTGAAGAACTCCTCGTCCTTCTTCGCCCGGAGGATCAGGTCTTCCCGGCTGGTGCTCGAGCCGACCTCGGTCTTGCGGAGTCGGAGGACTTGTCCCTGTCGAAGCGCATTTGATGAAAAAAACAAAAACAAATACACATATAAAAATGACAAAGAAGTACCCTACCTTGAGTCTAGTCTTTGAACATTACCGTATTTTTTTTAGCAGATAAGCCAATGGGCCGTTTCTCACAATACGAATACAAACATTGATATTTACCAATCCGAGGAGCCTGACGACCATGTGGTCCGCCCCCTCCGCCAGGTAGGCCAGGTCCCCCGGGACGACCCTCAGCGTGGGCAGACCGTGGTCACTCGACGTCACCCTTAAGGCCGCCAGGATCAGGTCGCGTCCCGTCTCCGCCGTTGTGGAAGTGATGCGGGGGTCCTCATTACAGGTCATGACCTCCACTGACCTGGCGAGAGAGGCCACTCCCGGACACGAACACGGAGATCCGCTTGGCACCGGCGTGAAGGCCACACAGGGAGCCGCCATCATCCTCTCTGCGGAGACGTGCAAAGTTAGTCGACGGGTCTCCTGGCGCGCCGCCGCCTCGCACAGCCACGCGGGAGCACACGCGCACGCATGTCTATCAAACCACCTATCCATATATGTATATCTATATATCTGTAAATACATACATACATACACACACACAGACATATATATATATATATATATATATATATATATATATATATATATATATATATATATGTATATATATATATATATATATATATATATATATATATATATATATATATTTATACATACATATATATATATATATATATATATATATATATATATATATATATATATATATATATATATTTATTTATACATACATATATATATATATATATATATATATATATATACATATATATATATATATATATATATATATATATATATATATATATATATATATATATATATATATATACACATATACACACACGAATACACGTATTTTTTTCAACAGCCATTCATTCCACTGCAGGACATAGACCTCTCTCAATTCAGTATTGAGAGGCTATATGGCAGTGTCACCCTTGCCTGATTGAATGCCCTTCCTAATCAACCGCGGTTCTGCGCGTTAACACTTGTGCCACGGCGGTGACTTCCCCTACGACACCTGCGTTTGACTTCTCAAGCCGATATGTCGGTTTCTCGGGCTCGAGGTAGCAGTCAGAGCGCAGGCATTTTTACGACTGCCGCGACGGGGAATTGAACCCGGGACCATGAGGGTCGGAGTCCAGTGCTCTAACCACTGAGCTATCGCGGCAGTGAATACACGTATATATGTATATATATATATGTATATATATATGTATATATGTATATACGTATATATGTATATATATATATATATATATATATATATATATATATATATATATATATGTATATATGTATATATGTATATATATATATATATATATATATATATATATATATATATATATATATATATATGTATATATATATGTATGCCGCGATAGCCCAGTAGTTAGAGCACTGGACTCCGACCCTCGTGGTCCCGTGTTCAATTCCCCGTCGCGGCAGTCGTAAAAATGCCCGCGCTCGGACTGCTTGCTCGAGTCCAAGAAAACGACATATCGCAGGTGTCGTAGGGGAAGTCGCCGCCGTGGAACAAATGGCACCGAACCGCGGTTGATTAGGATATAACCTCTCAATAGTGAATTGAGAGAGGCCTATGTCTGCAGTGGTATGAATATGGAATGTACGTATGTATATATATATATATATATATATATATATATATATATATATATATATATATATATATATATAATGTATGTATGTATGCATATATATATATATAT